AAAAAAAAAAAAAAGGCAGAGATATGAGGATGGAGGTTCCAAGCCAGTCTAGCCAGACACAACCTGAGAGGCTCTTATCTCCAATTCACCACCAAAAAGCCAGAAGTGTGTGTGGTTCAAGTGGTAAAGCCCCAGCTTTGAATGGAATAGCTAAGTGAGAGCACAAAGTCCATGAGGCCCTAGTTCAAGCTCCAGTATTGCTCTTCCCTAATTCCCCCAACAAAAGTATAAAGTAGTGAATCCCATGAGGCTATGGGGGCTCAACCTTGTTGGTCTGGAGTGAGGGCCCAGCACTGCCAGAGGGGATCTTAAATGTATTTTCATTAAGGTTTTGTTTTGCCTAGTACCAGAGTTTGAACTCATGACCTTGCATTCAGGCTGCTAGCTCACTCATGGCTTGGGCTCTACCACTTGAGCCATGCTAGATTTTATTACGACTACTACTGGGGATTGAACTCAGAGGCTCACACTTGGGAAGCAAGAACTCTAGGAGTTAAACCACACCCTAGTCCAATTTTTAGACCCACTGACACTTCAAATTCAGGCCCTAGGGCTGGGCACTTTCTAAGGACTCTCAGCCCCAGCCCTCTAGCTACTCCCTTTGCCCTTGGTATGGTTGAAACTTCAAGAACTAGCAACTCAAAGATCAGCTTGGCTGTCGGTTGCTGGTATCTGATGCCTAAAATCTTAGCTACTCAGGAGGTTGAGATCTGAGGTTCTCAGTTTGAAGCCAGCTTGGGTGGTAGACACATTCCAGAGACTATCTCCAGTTAGCCAGCAAAAGGCTTGAAATGGAGCTGTCACTTATATGGGGCAGAAAAAGTTAAATGGTAGAGCCTAGGTCTGAATTCAAGCCCAGGTATTGGCATACACACACAAATTCCAGAGGACCCAGTTGACCTAATACAGAGATATTGTAATGTTTACAATGTCACTTGAATCCTGAGTCCTTGAGGAGAGTGGGGGAGTCTTCACTTTACAGACTCTTAATGAAAGGGCTGCTTATTAGCCTATCTCCTAGATTTTCTAAATTCCTGAGAAAGAATTATTCTGGACTAGGAGGTACCTCCCCACCCTGATCTTAGACCTTAAACAGTAGGCTTTAGCCTGTATGGTAGTTGTTCAATAAAGGGACTTGGAGGTGTAGGAAGTGGTAGAGCATTTGCCTAGCAAGCATGAAGCCCTGAGTTCCAACTCCAGTACTGTCCACCCTCACCCCGACAAAAAAAAAAGTTCCAGGTGTGGCAATACACACCTACCATCCCAGCTGCTCAGAAGGTAAAGATTGGGAGGCAGAGACTGGAAAGATCTCATTTTGAGGCCAACAAGAGCAAAAAATAAGATCCTCGGGGCTGGGAAGGTGGCTCAGTGGTAGAGCGCTTGCCTTGCATGCATGAGGCCCTGGGTTCGATTCCTCAGCACCACATAAGCAAAAAGAAAAAAGCC